GGATTACTTAGCATCCATTGAATGACAGAACTGAATTTCAGCACTGGTTTTCAGTTGAATTTACCAAGTGGAGGTATTTCTTTTGGGATCTTATTTACTGTCCTGCCTGTTCCCTGTAGCAAAAAACAATGTCTCTATACTAGCAACCATTATGCTGTATCAATGACTGACCACCTAATTCCCTACTTCTATCCAGGTGTATTTCAAGCTTTGTAACATTATTTCTATTTGAATAATTTAAAAGCTATTTCAGAATAAAAAATACTGTTGAAATATGCTGATTCGATGATGACTTCAAAAGAATCTTCCTCAGTTTAACCAGATTTAATTTCTTTCATATCTTCAATGTAATAAACCTAGTAGTCTTGAAATTACACATGGAGTTTTCTAGTCAAGCCTTGTAATTGTAGGGTAATAAACAGGAAAAGGTATTTTTCCTGCATTGAATATACAGGCAAAACCAATATAAAATTTGTTTACATATTGTAAATAACAACAAAGGACAAATATTAATTTCTGCCTCTTTGAAGGCTACTCTGTTCTTTGGTTCAAAAAATATTTGGATTGAACTGATGACATAGTTGAACAAAATTATTTTAAAATATGAAATACAATGCTTTAAATAAAGCAAGCAATGTTTTAAAGTGAACAAAATAAAGCTGTTGCTTTAGGTACACCCCATAGTGCAATAATTAAGAGATTCAAAGTTGTCCAGGTATCTTTCATCTATTTTGTTACTTTCTATTACAGATACGTTTGCATTATTTAGTAATATAGAATTTAAGTGAAAACTTTCTGACTGTCAGATCTTAAGGGGTAACTTAATCAGCCAAGCTTGTAAGAGCAATTTGTAAAATAAAAAACTCTTCTCTCTTCTGGAATGAAAAAAGAATCACATACTTTAATTCAGTTGTTTATTATTTTAAAATTAGAAGAAACAAAAACATGGCATATTTAGGGGAAGGATATATTGCAAAACACTTGTGTTTCAAGGTCATTAATCCTCTCTTCTTTCAATAACTAATTAAAGACGTGATAACATTAGAACACTACCCATCTCCTGTTGGGGCTTCTGAAATCCTGTGACATTTCAAGGAAATGTTCATAGCAAGAATAAGTGCAGTGTAAGGGAAAATTTAGTCCATTATCACAAAAAGTAGACTTTTAATTTTTCATTTGCTTTTAATGCAATATGGTAATTACCTTGTTTTCCATTCCTCGGAGTAAAAATTATTTAAAACTCCGTAATTTATATATGTAAAAAGAATTAATGATTTAGTAAGTCACACCAATGGTTCAACACTAAACAAAAGTAGGACAAACCTTTTCTTTATTTCTACAAACTTAAAATCATAGAGTCATATAATGATTTGGGTTAGAAGGGACCTTAAAGATCAACTTGTTCCAAACCCTCTGCCATGGGCAGGGATACCTTCCATTAGACCAGTTTGCTCAAAGCCCCATCCAACCGGGACTTGAAGGCTCTGAACTTTTTTCAAACAGCACACCATAAACATTGCAACAAAATCTGTTGATTACAGAGTTTCTATGCCAAAATCTAAGTCAAACTTTGCATGCCTGGCTTTGGATATTCCAGAAATTTATACACAAGATTGGGTTCAGTAAACAGCTGTATAATTGGCTCAGGATTAAATTACAATAATATTCCCTACTACATCCACCTCTTCTTAAGCATAGTTGCCCCAATAGACAGGAAATAGGGTATGAGGGTTAGGGTTAGGGTTAGGGATTGGATCTGAGTGATTAAATGAAAGTTATTCTGTCTAAAAATGGTAGATAAACCCCAAGAAACTGAAGAAAAGCTGGTTTGAGTACTGAAAGCAAATCTGACTTTTAGAGGTGCTTTTGCAAAACTGTGGTGTTCTACATATGCATGATGGTTATTTAGGAAAAAGAGGAAAGCTGGGGACATCTAATGGTCTACATTATAATGCAATGTTATCAGTGGCTATTACTTGTTTATGCTGCCTCATTTCAAACATTTTGGGGAAACCTGTTTTAAAGTAGTTCCCTTAGATAGCATCATAAATTTGTTGAAGAGGGAAGTATGGTCTGTTGTTTAAAGCACAGGACTGTGAGTCAGAAGATGTAGATTATGCCCCCAGCACTGATAACTCCTGACTGTGTGGCTTCCTCATATCTAAATTGGGAAATAGTACTTAACTAGTCAGAGGTAACAAGGAAACAAGTCATTACTGCTTATAACATTATAATTGTAATAATCAGAATAAAGCCTTCAGAGGAGTACTGATTTAACAAGAAATATGTAGGAAAGAAGCAAATCACCTGTACATTTGAAGTTCTAGTGGTTTGTTCTAAGACAAAGTGAAATTTCTGTGTTGTGGTGGTGGATGTTTAGGAATGCAAAGTATCAGTCATTGCATTTGTTGAGCAACAGCCATCTAAAGGTCACTATGGCTCTAAAGTAGAACTATGATCTCATAGCTGCAGTTTTTGCCCTTCCCTATTCACACCCTTTCCATGTTTATGAGTGTTATGCTGGAAGGTATTGATGGCTTCCATCTTCCATATATAGGCAGCCATGTATCTTGTAGGCTTACTATACTCCAGAAGGTCTTGATATTGGAAACAAATGGAGGCAACTGCCCACACTTAAGACTGTGTATTAAAATTGATCAGAATCCAAGCTTGCGAGGGTGGAGGTGTTCTCTAGGACAGGAAAGTGCACCCAGTGCAAGGCTAACTCAAGTTAAGACACCAAATACTTGCAAGTGTAAGTGGGCAATAAAATCTCGGAGGAAAATATACACCCAGGAGGAACTCATGCACTCAGATATGAGTATGGCAGGACAGCTTACTTTTTGCATTCATTGTAGGATATATTTTTTTTTAATGTAAAATTGAGTCAACTACTAATTAGTTCTGACTGAACTATAAAAAACACAACTGGGTGTTTACTCAGCGCAGGAGCCAGGAGAGTCCCAAGGAACTGATAACACATATATTCACTTTTTGTAACTATAGCAAAGGTTTTTAACAGAAGCAATCTGGCAGGACTCTGAAGGGTACACACTTGGGCCCTACTGAAAGTGACCGGATGCAGCAGAATGAGGACAACTCCATTGTCTCCTTCCCTATGGCTGTGCCTGGGAAGGCCCAGCTGCCATTGCCACAGCATCTCTGGATTGCGTACAAGCACATTTAATCCTGGACAAGCTGCCCCTCCCAGTGGTGACAGGAGTGGTTAAGACTGATTTCCCAGGCTCTACCCTTTTCCTCTTATGCCACATTACTTTAGACGTTCATGAGATGACAAAGATAGCTCTACTTAGTAAAGCACACTTTCAGTACGGATGGATCACCTGCTCTACAGCAAAACTCGTTGTCTGCTACAACATGAGAACAAATATGTAATTTTAAAAGCGGTTTTACCATTCCTTTTTGTGGTGCCATCACCTGGTAGCTTATGCAAGAAGAAAATAGCAGGCTTAGAGCCTTAGCTGTCTGGAACAAGTGGCAGAGGAAAAGGAGAGATGAGCACATGGGTTGAATATCCCTTTTTGGTCCCCAGACCAGCCAGCCTGGCGGGCAGAGTGCCTGTTTTGCCTGTCTGAGCCACGCTGTGCTGAGTCAGCAGAAAGCAAGCATAATGTGGCTGATCCATGACGACACAACGCATGAATCTGCACCGTATACTGCCAATAGACACATTTCCACGCTTGCTATGGAGAAGCCGCGTTTCGCTTTATTTAAGACACTGATCCTTAGGGCAGGGCTTGAGAATGGGACACTCTAAGGCGTTAAATGCCTGACAGCTCCACTCCTTTCTAGTAGCCACTGCTTTCACCACAGTGTCACAGCTTGTGAGGTTTTTCCTTTCCACAGCTGAGCTCCACAGTCACAACTCCTACCATGCAGCACTCAAGCTCGCTGCCTTCCTGAGGCTCCTGGCGGTTTGGACAGATAGGAGGGTTCATCTGTGGAGCATGGTTCCTGCTTCCCCTAGGGCAGTGGGCCCGGTGATACCAAGCCCCTCGTCTTGTAGCCTTAGAGGGGTAATGATACCAAGCCCCTCAAGATTTGAGTCCCTCAAGGTTTGGAGAGAGGTTTGAGTGAAACTTTGTGCCTTCTTTTAAGTTGTTAATCAGTAGCTGTAGCTGAACAGCTATGATTAAGTAATTGCATTGTGAGCTTCATATGGTGCCAAACTCATTTTGGTGGTGCCCAGCAACAGCATAAGGAGCAAGGGCCAAAAACTAGAACACAAGAAGTTCCACCTCAATATGAGGAATAACTTCTTTCAATTGAGGGTGACAGAGCACTGGAACAGGCTGCCCAGGGAGGTCTTGGAGTCTCCCTCTCTGGAGACTTTCCAAACCCACCTGGACGCATTCCTGTGTGACCTGCTTTAGGTGACCCTGCCTTGGCAGGACGGTTGGATTAGATGATCTCCAGAAGTCCCTTCCCACCCTAACAATTCCGTGATTTTGTGTTTGTACACTTGGCTAATCTTTTAAGGATAAGGGAAGACAATCCCAAGATGAATGGGCTGTCTGGGAAGAAATAGCAGGACTGAAGTCAACAGAACTGAGCGGTAAGTGAGGGAAAGGTAATTCCAGCAGTGGGATCGCAACCACTGACTCATTGACCGCCTACTCAAAAGGGACGCCAGATTCAAACGGAGGGAAGAACTGCGCCTGAGGACTAATTAGCACGAGGAGAAAGAGATATAATTAGGAAATAGGGGTTGGAGTACTAATTAATAGAAAAGCTATGTAATTTAGAACTAACGAACGCTGATGCCTTTGTTTGTTAAAATGTACAGACAGCGCAAAGTTTTGATGATCGGCCGAGCCAGCCCTTCCTCGGCTATCCTCCTACCCCGTGCCGTGCGCGCAGCAGCGCAAGTGACTCCCCCCGGGGGCCTCTCCCACAGCCATTCCGCCCCTCCCGAGCCTCTCCCACAGCCGCTCCCTCCCTCCCGGAGGCGGTGCCGGCGGAGCGGGTCGGGGGGCGGGCCGGGGCGCAGTGCGCGTGCGCGGCGCTCCCGGAAGCGGCGGCGGCGGGTCAGGGACCCTGCGCTGCGGTGAGAGGGGCCGGGGCGGCGGCGGCTCTGCCCGCCGGGCGGCGACGGACATGACGAACTTCATCTCGGTGCAGCTCAAGAAGGCCTCGGAGGTGGACCTGGCCAAGCCGCTGTGCAAGTTCATCCAGCAGAGCTACCCGGGCGCCGAGGCACAGGCCGAGCACTGCCGCGCCGCCGAGGAGCTCAGCCGGCTCCGCAAGAGCGCGCTCGGCCGCCCGCTCGACAAGCACGAGAGCGCGTTGGAGACCCTCCTCAGGTAGGGCCCTCGCCATCCCTCTTCCTCCATCTCCCCCAGCCCTGGGTCCCTGTGGGGCAGCTGCGGGCCTTGGGCGTGGCGGAGCCGGAGCCAGGTGCGGGCGGGCCCAGGTGTGGGCGGCCCTTCCTGCCGGGAAGAAGCGGCCGGGGCTGCTGGGCCGGCTCCGGCGGCCTGTGGGATGCAGGCGCCGTGGCGCTCCGGTGTCCTGCAGCATCCCGGGGTCCCCCGCCCTCGCCGCGCCGCTCGGGTGTCGTGGGATGTCACATGATGGCAGCGCGGGCGGGGGGGGAGGCCTTGTCCCCATTAGCGTCCCCTTCCCAGTGTTTGTGTCGTGCTAGGAGCTCTTGGATCTAGAAATCGTAAAATCATAAAATGCTAAGGGATTGGAAAGGAGCTTAAAGATCATCTCGTCCCAACCTCCCCTGCCATGAATAGGGACACCTTCCATTAGACCAGATGGCTCAAGGCCTTATCCAGCCTGGTCTTCAATGCTGGCAGGGATCGGGCATCCACAACCTCACTGGGCAACCTGTTCTAGTGTCTAAACACCCTCACAGTAAAGAATTTCTTCCTAATATTGGACATAAATTTCCTCTCTTTGTTTGTACCCACAACAGACCATTTTGCTTTTCCGAGAGAGGAAAACTTTTACCTTTTGCTGTTACAGCTTTCTTTTCACTTCCCTTTCAGTTTTGAGTGTGGGTTTGTTTTTGTTTTTTTGTTACCGTGTTGATGTTTTTGTTACTTTGTTGCTATGTTTAGCAGCTTCTTGATTTATTTGTAAAGTCACATCCTCTTTTTTCTACTTAACGCTGTCAGAAAGTTTAGTGGGGCCTCTGTGGTGCTGTAGTTATCATGAGCAAAAGATTCATCTCTGCCTTCTGCCTGGTAGTCTTCATAAAGCCTGTGTTAGGATAAACTGCTCCATCATCTGCAAAAGCAGTCGCTCTTTCCTATCTACAGAACATTTATGGATTGCAGTATTGACAGGAAAGACAAGGAACTACTGGAGAGGGTCCAGTAATTGTTTTTACCCATCCAAAGATGATTAGAGATCTGGAACATCTCTCTTATGAGGAGAGACTGCAGGAGGGCCTGTTTAGTCTAGAGAAGAGAAGACTGAGAAGGGATCTCATTAATGCATATAAGTAACTCAAAGGTGGGTGCCAAGAGGAGGGTGCCAGACTCTTTCTGGTGGTGCCCAGCGACAGGATGAGGAGCAATGGCCAAAAACTAAATTGTAAGAACTTATTTCTATTGAGGGTGGCAGAGCACTGGAACAGGCTGTCCAGGGAGGTGGTGGAATCTCCCTCTCTGGAGACATTTAGAGCCCATCTGGACACCTTCCTGTGTGACATACTCTAGGGGGGTTGGACTAGATGATCTCCAGAGGTTCCCTTCCAATCCTATCAATTCTGTGCCTTACTGTGGTAACCCCGTTGTTCTGTTTCTCTGTGTTGGAAATATTTTGAGCCAATGTATTTGCAGCTCATCTGCTCACTGAGGTCACTGTGATTCATTCACTAGATTAATACTAAGTACACATTTCTATTTACAAAGCTGGGATCAAACATTTGCACTATTAAAAATGCATTTTTACATAGTGGCAGCAACTTGGTTTTTTATTTTAAAGGAAAAAAGATAGAGGAATTTTCTGTTATAGGGAGAAGTGATACTTGTAGACACATCTCTGTAATATTATGAACAAGTAAAAATACACTTGATGTTCACTAGAATCTCTTATTTATAAAATTTAAAAACTGAAGAGAAATGGAGAAGAAACAAGTGCCTTGTTAAAAAGAAGGCAAGTATTGTGAAATAAGTTACTGATTTTTTTGAGCTTATCAGCCCTTCACTGGGTGTTTAGACTATAAAAACTATGACTGTACTGATCATGTTTTACAGTATCTTTGTAGTTTCCTGTTCTGTTCCTGTCTTATTGCTGTGTATGCTTTTGAAGCTACTTGTGTTTATGTCTGTTGAAGGTTGGGGAAATTGTGGGCGTCTATGAACTGAAAGAGGGACTTTGCCAGCCAAATTGAAAAACATATTATTATCTTTCCTTGAATGCTGGAAATGAGCTTCTTTTTCTGAAGGTGCCAGTCAGGTTTGCCATTAGTTTCTGTCTGAAATCCCTGTTTGGCCCAGCCACACTTATCATTTCATCCTATTTAGCAGTTGTTCTACATGACCAAAAGAAGGCAGCCCTCTTTTCAGTTCTGGTCCTTATGCTTTTTCTGGAAGGCAAAGTGTGTACATGGCATTCTGAGCATCTTGAATGAGTTCAGTGGAAGGTCAGATGAACATCAGAGCTGGTGCAAAATAAAGAGAAGTAGTGTTGCTGAAAGCCAAGGGGCTGAGCAGGACCTCCCTCTTTTAGTGCCAGCAAATTATTAAGTGAATTTATCCATACTATGCAACTTCACCTCAGGTTTTCTCTCTGAATAATGAAAGGAAACCACTTGCAATTTCATAATTACCAGTTTTGAGTCAGTTCCATATGCAGTGATCTGTTCTCTGCCGGTGATCAGTGACCAGCAGATGAATTTAGGTGGTCCAGATGCTGTTGCAGTAGTCAGGAGCTGTTGAATGTGGCTCTGCACCAGTGTAAACATGAAGTGATATCCCTTCCATGCAGAAGCTCCTCTCTTAAAACATCTGCATTTTAAATTGTATTGCTTGAGAATATTTGTTTATTTTGTAGTGGAAGTGAGAAGGTCTGAACTAACTATAAGTTAGAGAAAATAAATCAATCAGATATATGTTTTCCCTTATTTCTTAACAAGTTATGGGTGGCTTGTTCCTGTCTGACCATTTATATTCATATATTTATATGCTGGAAAATAAGTTTGCTCTTACTCTGTTAAGACTATTCTGACATATATTCTGTTAATTATTGTGCAAGGCACAGTTACTTTAAGAAGTCTAACTGTCTACACATTCAGAAGTTTGAAGTATCTATCTGAGCTTATGATACAAAGAACACAAATGCTTGAGTGTCCTGTGTTCCCTCTGAAAATTTCCTTACCTTTCCAATTTCTCGTATTTTCCTGGTGCTATTTAAGAGTGGTACTCAGTCTTATGTTTAAGTAACAACTTTAGCAAGATTTTCATTGAAGTTGAAGTTTAAAACTGGTTTGTTAAGGAAGTAAGGTTGGAAGAGCTAATTAAAACATGGATTTACATGTTACTTGGCATACATTTACTTCTTGGAGGCTTTTTATAGACCCTAATACCTAGTAGAGCATTGTAGACTATGTAGCTGTTAAGAAATGAGGGCTTAATCTTCTGCTAACTAATCTAGGATTTGCCCTTGGTTTTGTAATTTTTAGAAGCCTTGTTTTGATGAGTAGTCACTACAGATTTTTTTTTTTCTTTTATGGAAGAAATTAACTCCGTGCAGCCACATTTCCTAGACTGTCCAGTAAAACTTTAAAAGTGAGTGGTGTGCTGTTGTTCAACTCCTGAGTGCAAAGCTTGTCTTGGAGAAGTGTTTGAGATACCCAGTGAAAAGGGGCATAGTGTAACTGGGAAAGACCTCAGCCTGCTTCCAAGCTTTCTTTGTTTTGTGAGAACCTGAGCACTCTGAAGGTGACGTAGGTGTGCTTGGTACAGATGTTTCTCCTTAAATTCTGTCATAGCAGATTTGATTTAGTGGTATTTTTCTTTTTTATTTTTTTTTTCTTCTGACTATAATTATGGCTTCGAGGGGTTCCTTGCTTCCTCTAATATTAATGCTAGCCTGGACTTAATTTCCTTTTTCTGGAAACATGGGGTGGCGGTACAACTTTAATTGGTTTAATTTTGCTAACAACTCCTGCAGTTGTTTTTTAAAAAAAAGAAAGAGGGGGTGGAAAGGGTAGTGCATGGTTTTATTTTGATTGTTCAAATTCTCTGAGAGCTAAAAGTTGCAGTTGTGATTTCCCGCTGGGAGTTCGGGACTCTGGTTCTTATCTCGAAGAGCAAAGATAGATCTTTTGTTCTCACAGTCTTTTGAAGGGGATTTTTCTTTTTGATTCTTTGGAGGAGGAACAGAATTTGAATTTCTTAATGCAATACATATATTTTAATTGAATTCTGATTTTAAACCTTCCAACTCATTTGATGTCTGTTTTTTACTAGCATTTAGAAGTGTGTAATGCCTGTTTTGATGAGAGACTGTTGTACTTTGAGCATTAGATCTGTGTTGCCCCCCCCGCTGTAGCTCTAGTTCATCACTGGCACAGCCAAACAACACTCAGCTGTGTGGTGCCTTGTGTTCTTTGTGTTTTGATAGTGAGATTACTGTAAATTTAGTTTTAAATTACACCTTTGTGTTTACCCTCATCTTTCTATGTGTAACTGAGTTGTGCATCAAATGTGGTCTTTTCTTCTGTAGTTATTTTCTTTGTACTGCTAGTTTTACATTGTCCTGTGGTTAACATTTTCATTTACCATTTTATGTGTTTATACCGTTATATTTATACTGCTTACATTTATAAAACTAGAAAACTTGATGTTTGTCTTCTGTTTTTGTCTTCAGAGCTTTAAAGAGCTCTTAAATCTTGAGTAGAATTTCAAGTTCTCTAATAAAAAGAAATGACATCGCATGCTTAAAATAATAAAGAAAATAGTAACGTAAATTCTGAACTTGTTTAAACCAAACCAAATGAAAAGCCCTATGTTGTTGGTATTTATTGATGCTAAATGCAGCAATGTGCGTGTTTAGGAGGAGCATACACCTCTTTAGCTTATTTTCTCTGTGGTTGTGTTGACATACAAAGAATAGTCTGTTTGCAGGCAGCTCAGGCTTGGGCACACCCGGCTTCCCAAGGACATTTGACAAGCTTTGCTTCTTGACTGTGTCCTCATGGCAGATGGGGACACTGTAATCGTGGAATGTGGGAAGACAGCTTGGCTTTAGTGGTGGCTTTTGGTTAACAAATTAAATTGAGGCAGGATGAACAGCATGCAAAGTCTCCTTTTCTCTGGGATACGATGTGAAAACAACTGTGTTGAGATCAGATGAAGGCAATGAAGAAAGTGTGTTTAAATATAGTAATTGCAGTGATCTTCAGTGGTTGTTATTATTTTTAACTATACCTTTCACATATACTTGATAAATTGTTTAATCTTGTTTAAACTGCTGTCACAGTAAATATCTGCAGACTTTTTTTTCCTTTTCCTTTTTTTTTTCTTTTTTTTTCTTGTAACCCTACAAGGTTATTAGTGGAGGTCCTGTTGGGTCCTGCAGATTATTGTAGTTTTTCATATGGCTTAGTATATTGATATGGCTTAGTATATTGTGTCTTAAATTGCAGTGGCTGTTGAACTCAGAAACTGGTAGTATTATATACACTAGCAGATGTAATTAACTGAAGAATATACTAAACCTATTTTTATTGTTGTATATGAGTTTTGAAGATGCTTCTTGAAATTTTAAACATTTATTGACTGCACAACATAGGTCTTGTGCATGTGCTTTGTGCCTATATCGGTAGTGATCAATATTTAATAACGTAAGGAAACGGGAACAATGTTAATCCTATTTTACAGACTGTGAAAGTCATCACTGGAAGGTGTTTTGTATATTGGGAATATAAATTCTTTAAAAAAAAATTGACCAATATAATGTTGTGTTCACCCATATGGCATACGCTACAGGAAGAGTATAGGAAGCAGACTTCACGTATTATGTGTTCTTAGCAGTTGGCAGTTGAAAGGTTTTGAATTCTGCATCCAGCCTGTCATGTTAAACAACTGGTGCAGGTGTAGGGGTACCACGCTGGAAAACTTTGAATTGCTTACTGTTGCCTGGATAGATTGTGGGAAGGACTATGCTATACTTGCTGTATTATCGTTTTGGCATTCTTTCATAAACATCTTCCACTGTGACTAGGCAAAATATTGGCACAGAGAAACTTATAGTTTTGATTCACTGTGAGTGCTAGAATATACTGTAATGAAAACTAAGTTTACAACTAAAGAGTTTTATCAAGGATTAGGCTCTCTAGTTGCTGCTGTGCAAGACAAACGGCATCTATTTCAAAGGCATTGAAGTTGAAATGGTTGAACGTGAATTTGCAGGGGAGTGGGTTATAATGCTCAGATCAAGACAGTACAGTGTAGCATGTTAATGTTAAGTGCTGTATGCAATTTACTTTTGCAGCATGGTTTAATGTACTCTTTGTTTCCCTGTGTGAATATAGGGACTCCTATGCATGATACTCTCTTCTAATCCACCCTCCATCAGGGAGTGGAATGGCTCAGTTTTGTTGCTTTGTCTGTGATACTCTTTTACATCGAAGTAAGACAGGGTTTCCACATTATCTGTGAAAGACTACCTCCTGTTGAACTTGTTCCTCTACTGAAAAAATCCCTTTAGGCAGAAATTCTGTCTGGCCTGTAAATCTGCCATAGTTACAAATGAGCTTCACAAGTTGTGTGTAGGATTTTTGTGCTCTTTTCCTTACCTTACGTGCCAGCTTAAGAAACAAAACTATTAATTTGATTTATCTAATAGCTATTCTTTTTTTTTTTTTTTTTTATAGATACTATGATCAACTGTGTTCAATTGAACCAAAGTTTCCATTCTCTGAAAATCAGGTAAGAAGACTTACCAAACCTGTAAACTGAATGGTGGCACCCACGATGTATGACTTCCAAGCCTGTACCTAGTCTTCTACAGGGTACTTCTCTCAGACAAGGCATTTAATCTCTTTGAGCCTTATTTTCTTAATCTCTGGTTATTTTCTAGCTGGTGCTTGCATATAGTCTATACTGAAACTTCCCCTCTAGTGGCCATAACTGCCTTTGTACAGGTTCAGAAACATTTTGGTTTTGGCTAGTGATCACTGTTGTTTAGGTCAGAAAGAGTTATGCTGTGCTGATTCCTGTTTTTCCAGAAGTCTGTTTCATACTATGTTCTAAAGGCTTTTAAAGACATAATTACTATGGAATGGAATATGATCTTTGGTTTTTGAAGCACAGATGTTTCATTCACAACACCTAACAGAATAAGCCATGTAAGAGCTTAGCATTGTATTCCTGCCTCTGTATCTACAAATGACATAGTTTTTATATAGGTATGATGTTCATTAGGGTTTAGGGTTTTTTTTTCTGCCACATTTTTTTAGAATCCCGAACCTACAGAGAAATTCAGCTGAACTTCTGCCTACTGAAGCCTTCCTCAGAAGGAACGAATAGATCTGTAGGCTCCTGTATTTTGGTGGAAAAAGGTGTGGGTTTTCTTTGGGTGTGTTTAGAAATATGACAGAATTTATATTTCTTTCTGCATTAAATCATATTTAAATGGTAATACTGTGATTAAAAGGAAAAATTTCTTTGTCTTACAGGTTATAAGTAAGGGAATAATTTTAATACTGTTCTAACTTCTACATGAGTTTTGTGTGTAGCTGCATTCACTTGTAGCCAAGAACAGCACTTTGATTTTCAGTGTGCAAATGTTTTGATATGATGATCTGCAAACCCTTCGGATAAGGAAAACTGGAGAACTTAGAGAGCAAGATCTGCCATATCTGTAAACTGTTCCATTCAAGGGAAGAAGTAGTCAGTAGAAGCAGCAATGAACAGCTTGGGACCAGAACTTCCTTTACTAGCATTGCTGCTAGAGGAAAATACATTATCAAACAGTACCCTGTAGCTTCTGAAGTAATTCTCCCCAAGCACTTAAAAACTGAGGATTTTTGCTGTCTTTTCTGGTTTGATACCAGTTGCCTACCTGTTGATCAGCTGAATAAGGAATCAAATTGTGGAACTTGAAAGCAGATTCTATTAAGCATTTGCATTGTCTGTGGAATATATGCTGGAAGTATAAATAATACACACTGTTTTATTCTCTTTCCCGAAGGCATTTCCTGATAATGCTGCTATTGAATTCACTCGTAACAATGAGTGGATTTTGGTATTACAAAACAGATCCAAATAGGCTAGTAATTTGGAGCAGTGGAAAATGCCTGGTTGGGTAGTTTCCTTAAAACTGTGACTATACCAGACCATCAGACTTATTGGGAAAGGAATGTCTTGGTTTGGAAACAAATTTATCTGTTGCTCAGAATGTGAACAGAGCTGAAAGATAATTCTGAGAATTTCTGTCTTGTCTACTTGAAATGTTTTGAGCAAACTAGCAGGAAGGAAAAAAGGTAGAATATTTATTTTTTTAATAACTCTTGATTTTCTAAAACTTCCATAATGTTTGTAATGCCACAAGTGAATGAAAAGTTTTATGCAATTCGAATGTAAGGGCTAAGTACGTAAATTTGGGATATTTTAAGAAGATTTTGTATTTGATTTTAGAGGTAAAGATCTTTCTTTTTCTCAACTTTCAGGTCTGTGTAACATTTACCTGGAAAGATGCTTTTGATAAAGGATCACTTTTTGGAGGATCTGCCAAATTGGGTATGTGAATATATCGAAAACTCAAGTATTAATGATACTAAACTTTTGAGAATATTTTTATATAGTTGAATTGGTAATAGTCTTTCTAGTATTTTCAACATAGCTTTTCAATGAATTCAACTATATTAGTAATGAATTAATCACTTTGACATTGGTAATGAACAAATAGGCACCATGCAAAGAATTATTATAAAATTGATATTAATATTAGATTCCCAGAGGCACAAAGAGATCTGCAGCCTGGTAGTAGTTGTACTGTCTCCTTCTCAGACTTTTTCTGGGAACAACCCCAATTGATATTAATCAAAATTGTTCGTGTTAACATTAAGATTCAGTAGTAAGTTTTTGGTAATCCAGCTTTTACTGGTCTAAATTAGTAAGATCATTATGAAATGTGATTGTGAGTGAGTAAGTCCCCTCCAGAAGGGGAGTGTTGGTAGCTGGCTTCAGTAACTGAGCCTTGATACCACATTTTGTTTAAGAGAATAGAATGATTTGCCCATGTTCTGAAATTATTCTTCTATCACTGCTTTTAAAAATATTTTCATACAGATTTGAAAACTTGGAAAGAAAAAAAAATTGTATTTGTTTCCTGCAAACTTAAGGGGTTTGATTTGTTTTAGTCATATAGGGGCAATTCTGCACGGCACATTCAGGATCATTAAATGGATTTGGGACGCTTGCCAATAGAGAAGTAAGCATGAATAATTTTGAATTAAATGAGGAGCTGTTCAGTCATGGGTCATCATTCTTTAGTATTTCTATTTATACCTAAGTGTTCATCCTGACTAACATTACAAGATGAGCAGTGCAATTTTGAAACTCTAGACAAAGCCTGAAAAAAATGCTAGAGTGCTTACTCTTTTTATTTTTAAAGTTCTTGCATCCTTTCTATAGTTCTCTGTTAACAACCACTGAAAGTTTTTGAAGTTTTCTATGTTCTGCATTCACCTGCTGAAGTTGTGCTTATGTGAACTGTACGAGTATCAATACACCACGTTTGTATGCATACACAAGTCTTGGCTTTCTTTTCTAACTATTCTAAGAAGCCCTTCAGGATAATTGGAGACCTTCATGAAGATGATGTGGGTTTTTTCTCAGAATTTGGTTCATCCTGTCTTCTTTGGGGCTAACATTTAATGAGGATGGAACCTGTTTCATAGTAAAGTTCAGAATATTTAGTTATGACTTAAACATAGTTTGTGAATCACCAGAGATTTATAATAATTGTGAGGAAAAAAATCAGTAATCATAATGGTGATGATTCTCAGGATACCCTGAGAATTTGAATAAATATGATGTCACAGCATCTTGAGAAAGCTTACTTGTCTGAAGGTTAATTATATGCTAGTCTAAATAACCTGTGAGGCAGATGACCAGAGATTTATGTAGCAGTCCATGTGAAATACCAAAGAAATTCTTGACTGAGCTGTGAGTAATTCTCAGGTAACAGGCAGTGGAATAAATTTTATTTTGAAACTTTAAAGCAGATCTTAGTGGAAAGACATTAGCAAAAGAAGTCTTTTACTATATATCTTTACAGTGATGTATCACAGTTTATCCAGATGCTATTATCCGGATTAACTGTGCCATGTGTATATCTCTATTTCAGATCAGAATTAGCAGTGAGGTTTCCCAGTGTAAAGCAAAGTTTTCAGTTACTGAGGGAGCAAAATTCCTCTTGACTTCTAAGAGGAGGTGGGCCTGTCTTCAGGTAAAAATTCAGTGTAAAACTCCTGTGACTTCCATGGGAACAAGATGCAGGGATGTGACTTGAGAGTTCTGGCTCTTGCTGTGGTGGTGAACTCTTTGCTTCCCACCTTCCCCTGAATCCCAAGTCTGTATCACAGTGGTAGCTGACACTACCTGACACTGGCAGCTGGTACTGTGACCGCTTGGGAAGTGACTGAGTTCACAGCATGGCATGTAATCTGAAATATGTTGACAAAGTTAATAGGTAGTGCTATAAACAGATGAGTCTGTGGAATATCTGTACTGGTAAACAGCTGTTCTCACTGTAGTAAATCACACTTGAGGTGCAGTCCAGAGTATGAAGTAATTCTGCATTTAAGGTAATTTTGCACTTCAGAAACTTTAAAGCCATATTTTCTTTCCTTTTTTGTGTTTTTTTAGTCTTTTCAATGTTGTTTAAGTTTACAAGATCTTATTTTTAGAAAAATTCTGGAAAATAAACTTCAGAAGAGACATAGCTAGATAAGTGACTGTTATCTTCATGAGATACAGTGGCTGTGCAACTCCACTCAGGGAAACAAAATGGGAAAAATGGCATGTCAGATTTATACCTGCTTGTCTGAGAGTTGAGTGCAGGTCAGGGAGCTCTAACAGAGAAACTTCAGAGATGTGCTATATGAATTTGTACCTGTATAAAGAGACTGGATGTTAGTGAAATGAAACAAATGTGCATCTTTAGTGCGTTCATGTTTTGAGGATAACTGTACCTGGGTCTGTGAAACTGAAAATTCAGTAGTTGTCTCTTCTGTATTCTCCAAGAGTAATGTCTACACTTTATAACACCAGTAGGAGACTAATAACTGCAGCACTTGGTTTTTCCAGCACTTGCATATGGCAAATAAGCTTTTTAAAGCAATTAATATATTCAAAATGGCTCCTGTTCAGGTATTTCTGGTTCTAGAAGTGTGGGCTCCATCCTCTGGGGCTATGAAGTACTGCAGGAGTTGCATCCGGACAGGCTACACTGCTGTCTAGTGAGCTCAAGTTTTAGTTAAGTAAATCCTTAAGTGTTTCAGTACATGCATAATGAAGATATTTTTCAGAATTTTAAGTCTAAAACAATAGCTTTGAGAATGAAAAATTCCCTATATTTCAATAGCTAGGAAGACAGACCATGTAAAAGTTTTTGTAATTGGACAGCTATTACAAAATGATTAATGTGTGGAAGTTCGTATTTCAGATTATCTCTCAGTAATGCTTCAAGAACCAAAAAGCTGCACTCTACTTATAAGGACTCGAAAATTATTTTGTGTAGATTTTCATGCTACTGCTTTCATGCTTTAGACCACTTTCTGTAGTTCCTCACATGGAAACATTTTGTGGAAGTACTAAATTAGCCTGTGTAAAGCCTTCAGAATGCAGATGACTTTGACTTTAAAAGTTCAGTATGACTGGGGTTTTGTTAGTTTGTTTTTGCTTGAAACTGTTGATACCTTTACAGATAATAGTAGTGTTGGCCTCAGCTGTAGGATGCTGGAGAACTGAAATTATTTTTTTTACAGTTGGGGTAACTGTCTGTCTTGATTGCAGCTCTGGCAAGTTTGGGATATGAGAAGACCTGCGTTTTGTTCAACTGTGGAGCACTGGCAAGCCAGATTGCAGCAGAACAGAATCTGGATAACGATGAAGGACTAAAAGCTGCAGCTAAGCACTATCAGGTAGAGAGGCTCCCTGCTTCTGCTTGTGAATTCACAACTAGTAATCTTAGAACATCAAATAAGTATCTCTCAATTTTTAAAACTATATATACACATGCATAAAAATATATATATCTGTATGTATTTTCCTGCTCTTAATTGCAAAGATGGATTGGTTATGTACCTGGTCTTGTCTCATATTTTTTTACCAGATTTGGAGCATATAATTCTGTACGGTTCCCCATACTCCTTCCCTCAAGCATGTTGGTTAACTAAAAACCTTCAGCTTAAGATTTAATAATTTTAGCTAGTATAAGTTCTAGTTTTAACAAGTTATACAGTAATAATCTCTTCTTTATGGAATGCATTAGAATTTCCATGTTTTTATGCCGTTAGGTGTAATCAATATACCTTTATTTATACCCTGTCAGGATAAGTGTCTCAGTGTAAGTGGCTCCAAGAACAAGGGGTCACCAGGAGCTATTTTTAGTGGCTAAAAAATAGATGGGAGACCATATACCAAAGACTTTTTTTTGGTATTTTTATATGTATTATATTTGTAAGAGAGAAAGTCTGAAAAAAATGAATGGTAATGTATTATTTTATTTTACTTAGTTTGCGAGTGGTGCTTTTCAACACATTAAAGACACAGTTTTGTCAGCCTTGAATCGAGAACCTACAGTGGACATCTCTCCAGACACAGTTGGGACTCTCAGTCTTATTATGTTGGCTCAAGCCCAAGAAGTCTTTTTTTTGAAAGCAACAAGAGGTATATTTTAATTTTTTGCTTGTCTATTTAAGTTCACATTACAACTTCCACTATTAAGAGTGTGTAAAGGGCCTTTCTGAAGTTTTTATTTTTGCCTTTATTGATTCTCCCCTTGCTCCTTGCAGGTCATGAAACACGAATTACAGATATTTCTTAAGAATTTTTCTAAGGTTCACCTGACAATGCAGTTGTCCCATCTGCCTTTTTATGTCCAAAACCATTAGTCTTCATCTTTACAGAGGATTTTGCTGGATTATATTTTTTTCCATTCCTCTCTTGAGAACAAAAGAAATTGTCCTAAAGAAGTGAGAGTACTAGAAATTATGCATAAGGGGTCTTGCAAGTACTCCCCATCTCATCTGGGGAGTGATTTCATGAGAATTTAGAAAGGAATGACTGTGCTAGGAAACAAAGGAAATTTCCTAGGAGTTTGAGGGAAACAAATTCTGTTTGTTTGCTCCTACTTTTAATAGGGGAACTCTTTGACCAAGTCTAACTTTTAGAATACCCAGTTTATCCTGGAAAGGGAAATTCTGCAATCAGAACAAAAAATTATTTCCCTAATCGTTAAAGGTTGATTGTGAAATACTCATTCAGAGTCTGGATATTTTAATACAACTGTTAGAGAACTTATGCTTCAAAGAATTTTCCTGTGAAACGGTACTATCTTTGATACAAGATCTCTTGCTGCTTTTCTCTCTCTATTTAGAAGAAGTTGTGCATCTAGAATGTACAGATATGTAAAAGTAGAACTAAGGACATAGAGGTCATATGTAATTGCCCACAAATGGCTCTCCCTCTCCCCACATCATTTGGAATACAGTGGAGGAAGACATGAGTTATTTTAACTGGGATGTTTCTTTTTTTCATGGGGAAGATCTCTGAAAATTCTTGTAGCCTTACCGGCTTTAGAGAATCTCAACAAGAAACTGTTGTCCTTCAGCAAAATGATAAATTATGACTATGTTCTTTATCATGTTGCTGGAGGTATTTTAGTCTCTGCTCTGAAATAAATTTGTATAACAAATGTCTGAAACTCTTCCTTCAGGACAGAGCAGATGCTTCCCTCATTTTGCATGACAAATAGATTTTTCTGTCACCTTCTTGATTTCTTCTTTTCCAAAATGTGAAAAAGACAAAGCAAGTCTATCCAAACACCAAATGTGCCTGGTGAACTGAAGATTTTTGTGATTACTCCTAAGACCACAAGTCTGGCAGTCTGGCTTGAAGGACAGAAAGGTTAATAATCATCTGACTATGAAGGCTGTAGATTTTGCCAGATTTAGAGGTTCTTTTTCCTGGGGGGAAAGACATTTTGGGAAGAATTGTGTTTGACAACATGATTACCTTCAAAAACCTCTTTTTCAAGTGGAAATCCTTCGAAGTTTGATCTCAAAACTGAAATTTAGTTTCTTGCTGCATTGACTATTTATCTTACTTGGAATGGTATTTCTGATAGAACTGAATTTATTCACAAGTCGAAAGAAAGAAAAAAGATGTGTTTGGCAAAAGCTAAATTGGTCAGTCAAATCTAACTCCCCTACATAACTACAGATAGTTTTTTTTTTTTATTATTTCTGAGCCTTTCTTAATGTTTTCTTTAAATGTCTTTAAGTCTGCACATGTTTGCTGTTCTGTCTCAAGGCTTGCGTTGTAGCTGCAATATTTTAAAGATACGTGAGTAAAAACTAAAGTGAAAAGTTGGATAGTTTTTTCCTTTCTGATGGTGAAAGATATGTTTTGAGCTGTCTGCGTGGACAAATGAATCTCCTCCAACATTTCCTTTGTTAATGGAAATGTAGTTAGTGTGCCAGTATTTTTTCTTTTTTTTTAATGCACAAGCTGTATGTAGGAAGATGCAACTACTGCACACTTGGTGGAGCTAGAAGGACAGGTTTCTTAGATTTTGTGTAAATTTTTTGTGGATTTTAGATTTTTTGGTTTTATTAAATATTTAGTGCACCAGACAGAAACATTCTAGCAAAGAAGTAAGTTGATAGATCTCATGAGATCCTTTGTCGTAGTTTGTCATCTGAACCCTCTTCACAGTGAAAAGATCTTTCTGGCATACCTTAAACATACTTACTTCATAGAAGGTAAATATATTACATCATAGCTTGTGCCTGAAACATTGTAAATAGATGTGTGAATATGCTGGTATGAACAGACCACTTAGGAATTATTTTGATTTAATTTTGGCAGACTAATTTCTGCAGAATTCCTAATCTCTCCATATGTCCCCACTTATGCTTGTCAATCTGTCAGTACCTAGGAATGACCTGAGTCAGAGGATGCTTGTTTGTGAGGGCAGCTGTTAAGAGTGGACAGCCTGTGTTTGCACTGATTGCTTGCCTTCTTTTGGAAGGTTGAATTGCTAGTGCAGGCCAGAGGTTACCTTCATCTCCTTTATAAGAGGACCTATCTCCTGTATGAAAAAGAAGATAATTATTGTTGCAGAATGTTCCTATTTTAGCAGTTTGGGCTTCAGGAACAGAGTGAGGATGTGAGGCAGGGAATACCACTGCTGCTAGGCACGTGCAGCTCTGATATGAAGTAATTGTGTTTTATATCTAGGAATGGTGTTTCTATATTTGCTGTAAGCTGACAGTGATGTGGACTGCAATGGAAAGGACCGGTCCCTTCTCCTCCTGTTGCAGTTTTTGCGAGTTCTGACGTAGAATTGGGTTAGGAACAGATCCTGTTGAAAATAAGCTGTGTTTTGCTTGCTAGATTTCAGGTAAATTCTTTGACTATGGCTGCACAAGTACTTGTCCTGGCACAAGGAAGGGCTTGGAACAAGCTGCCAGAGTTCAGAGTGGGATTGTTGTATCTTTTATTGGCAGCTTGCATTGGTTTGAGATGAAGTATCTCTCTTAATTCTGCATAAATGCCAGCAGCTGCCAGAAGATTTTTGGTACAACTGACTGAACCTTCAGTGTCATGATTGAAGTAGAAATTCTGGAAACTGCTGCTGGATGTCAAGAGAGAAGACTGGGATCCCATCTTTGAGTTATAATGTAAAGCTATACCCTTAAAATGCAGTTGTTGCTGTTTGAAGATGAACTAGGCACCTGTTCAGTTGTAAAAACTGATGATAATCTTAATTGTTCTTTGTTTTTTCTCCTTCTCCCCTCAGATAAAATGAAAGATGGTATCATAGCTAAACTAGCAAATCAAGCTGCAGACTACTATGGTGATGCTTACAAACAGTGTCAATATAAAGATACTTTGCCCAAGGTTAGTAACTCATGGAAATATGTGGGACCTGTTGTTACTGTGAATAACTGTTATTGTTTACAATATACTTGATGAAATACACTTAAAATATATCCTCAAGAAGAACTGACATATTGCTACATTTAAGGAAAATGAAACTGTAATTTGAAAAAACTGAAAAATCTAGGGGGTAAAAGGTAGTGTGTTTTTTAAAATAAGTAAAATCTTATTACATGAAGTGTGTTTATTTGTAACACATTTCATTAAAGTGAACTTGAAATGTTTATGGTGGTATTTAGGGATGCATTCTTAGAACTTAATGCCTTACTAAATCTGTTTTCAAACTAACACTTTCTTTTGAGGCTTAATTGGCTTTTAGTCTCAATGTTTTTGTGTGAAATTTGCTCTCATGTTGAGTCTAGCATGAATACAGTGGTGCTGTCCACTTATCTGCGAGTGAAAAACATGACTGGAAGTCAGTGCGTGTCCTCTGTCCTTCTGCCTGCCTCCTCTTCTTTCTCCACCCCAAATCAATCTTGATACTTGTAAATTATCCCATTTAGTCTTGACTGTTTGAATGCTGTTGGTTTTGGAAGAGGTAGAAAGATCTCTTTTTCATGCTCTTAGAATATTTCACGCTTAGGTATTATGTTTATGATGATTTCTGAGAGGCAGTGAGGTCACTGCTTTATCTTTTGTTGTTGTGTACCTTTCTAAGCAGTAGATGTGCTCCCTGTTCCAGTTGCAAAATAATCTCTCAACTGATTATTTCAAAGAATATAATAAGGTTTGCTGGTTAATACCAGTTCTGAGAACAGTTTATGTTTAGGAGTGTGACATAGAGGTTGATTTGGTGTGTCGAACTCCAGTTGCAAGGCCTCCCAGACAGCTTTCTCTTCCAAATTTACACTTTTTTAATTTTATTTTTTTTCATCTCTGGGGGAGAACATCACTCTGGTTTTCCAGTGCTCCTTGATTTAAGAAATAAAACAGTAAGGCAAAATCCTTGATCTAAGACCGTGTCCCTACTGTGAACTGCAGCATAATGTTTTCTTCATGTCTTTGTTGATACTCCTGCAAAGATAAGTGCATTTATATAGAAGTCTAAAAATGACTTTTAAATTGCCTTCCATGTCAGTTGTTATTGGTCCTCTCTAATTGTTCTTTCGTTTCATAACTCTAGAGTTACTTTCTCGATAAGGCCTGCTGCTGTATTAAGTGTAATTACTTTTTTTGATTAAAAAGAAATCAAAAAAACCCAGAGGACCTATCTTTCCACTCACCTCTATTTCTTAAGAGCACTGTCTTGGCTTTGTCTTGGGGTTATTTGGGTGTTTTCTTGCAACTGTCCTTTCTAATACATGCATGCATTTCTAATCTCTGAAGTAAATGTTGTGACTTCATGGCTTGAATTTAAATTGTATTTCATCTACAATAAAGGACAGTAAGAATTTTACAATAGTGGATTAAAAAAAATATTCAATCCATGCAAAGTCACATGGTCTCTGACATTTACCTCTAATGTTTTAACCTATCTAAACCATTAATTGGGTGATTCTAATTTCCTTTTCTTCTTCCTTTTTCTTCCTGCATCCCATGTTGTCTGTGGTGGTTAATGTGGTTGGACTTTCCCCTGGTCAGTATTTTTATTTCCAGGAGGTGTTTCCTGTTCTGGCTGCAAAGCACTGCATTATGCAGGCCAATGCAGAGTATCATCAATCTATTTTGGCAAAGCAGCAGAAGAAATTTGGTGAAGAAATTGGGAGGTTACAGGTGAGTAACTCTCTTTCTTCTCTGAAAAATATGGAAAAGCTTCAAATCCTGAAAAGCTAACTCAGAGTTCTAAAATTCAATTAACTAAGAATGAAACATATTCAGAAGTTGCAGAGCATGTTTATCACATGAATCGAATTATTAGCAAATGCATAGAGGAGAGGTATCTCTGTAGCTTTTATAAAGATGTATTTTAATGATTTTTGGACAGTCTGATAGTGCTTGACTTGTTAAATCTATAGCTTTACAATTGCATAGGCTTCTTATCTCAGTATAGCTAATATGACAGATTTGTTAATAAATTTTCCTAATTAACGTTAGTAAAAAAAATTCCCCCAATAATAAAATTCTGTCTGGTCTGTACATAACTCCTTTGCTGCAATTCTGATTTAAATCTGAATAATTTTTGAAAAACATACCAGCAGTTCTATTTTTATTCTTAACAGGTTTTTGCCTCTATATCTGGTTTCTAGAGGGACTCAGATATAGATGTTGTAATGAGTAAGATCTTCTCATGTTTTTAGCACAATAGAGGAAAAATGGCTAAAATTAACTCCTTTCTTCAAGTCCCCTAAAGCTTGAGAAAATAAATATGTGAAGTGCCACTTTGACTGATTTGTAGAATCCATGTGTGATATCTATCTATTGGTATGCAGGAGAGTTGACAGACTTATATAAGGCTTTAAGATGATCATGTTGACATTTTGAAAGTTACTGTTACACTTTTATCAACTGGGTGAAGGTTGGAGCTTGAAACTTCTTTTTGTATGCTTGTTATAGCAATGAAGTGTCTATAACTTGTAATAGCAAGTTATTATGTTATGGCTGCATTAGTACATGATATATGAAGCTTATCTGTTGCTTATTCTTGAGTTTTGAGTCTGCCTGGCAGACCTCCTTTCCTAGGACTTTACTGTAATAGAATATTAATGTGTTTTTTGAGGGTTTTTTTTAGTGCTTACCCTGGACAAGTTTGGCTATATCAAATTTACTGTCATTGTTAAGCTGTATAGCAAATTAATTATATCTGTGATTTTTCTTCATGTTGTGTTACAGGAAGTACCCCTTCATGTTGAGTAGTAAAGGTGTGGGTTATTTTTCTTGTTTGTTTGTTTTTCATGAAACCTGAGGGAAAATACTCCCTTATTACTTATTTTAGGACTGCTTCACGAACAGCACGTAGCCACAAGTTAAAACACAGGTGTTGTCTTAACTGAATTAATACTGAATGTATTAATTATTATATCCTGTTCTCCACAGTGATTAAAATCCTGCTTCTGTAATCTAAATTAGAGGTTTAGTACCCTTTTTTTGAGTTTTTGAAAAATTCAGTTACTGTAAAGTAATCTCTCTTTTTATTTCCCACTTTAAAAGGTAGAATAATAATTGATTGAGAGGTGGGGGAGAGATGAATGTGTGGAAGTCAATAAACTAACACTATCCCAGTTTGGAGGCAAGAAACTGGAATGTTTTATTGGACTCACAAGTTCGTATTTAAAGGGTTTAGGATCTACATCTACATATTCAACAGGGGATTGTAACTATTACAATTTACTACAAACAGGGGGTTTCAGGGGATGACGTAAGCGAAAAACCTGACTTACGCAATTTGGGATTTTCACAGAGGGGACATCAGGGGAAAATCCAAGTTACACTTCTTGGGGTCTTAGGAATTACCTCATGGGGGAAAACCCACTTTGTCTTAGGGGGATTACATGAGGGGAACAGGTAACACAGCGGGGAGATAAAGCACAAAAGGTTTTCTGCACAGGTTTGTTGAGATCAGGGCATGGTTTCTCCGGGCTTGGGCAGGACATTCCAAACCCGTGACATCAATGGATCCTTGTCTGGACTCTAGATGGAAGTTTTTTCCCAGTCTCTGTCAACCTAAAGCTTTTGTTTAAACCTAGCAATTTTCTCTTTCTCATATCCAAATTTTTGGAATCCAACATGAATGTAAATTCTTTCAAATTAAAAAGTATGTATAGAGTCATAGAATATGCTGAGTTGGAAGGGACCCATCAGGATCATCAGTTGGCCCTCCTTTGTACACTCTCTAATAGTGTAATATCTTTTTTATATATGCTTTAATGCTGTTTGTTCTCCTCTCATTTTGTTTCTGGCAAATGCTAGTTAGACTGTAGCATTGTATCAAACCAAAACTAATGTTGTGTGGCCTATGACACAATGGAAAGTGTCAAAAAATCTCAGCAAACTTCAAATGCACTTCACTTCTAATGTAGGTCAGGTTCCACTTCACAATCCCAAGATGTCTGACTTTTTGAATTGTGAGTTTATGCAAATGTCAACTGAATTGCTTCTTAGTATTTTGGTTTTGCACATTCACAACACAAATGTGAATAAATTGTATGTAGGAAAACTGGAGTGGCTGAGCAGACAGGAATGAAGAGACAGCAGACCTTCTGTAGCTTCTGAGCTCAGTGTAGTGGCAGATGTGAAAAGCAGGATTCTGGCCTCTTCATTTGTGGATGTGAGCAAGGGTTGAAAAGCAATTTGCAGTCCCTGCGGAAGCAAGCAAAGGTTTTATGAAACAACATGGAAATGACATGATGACATTTGGGTTTTTTGGTGAATATGTGTTTGAGATATCATTACCTCTAACTCAGGAGCACTTATTTTGGGTTTTGGGGAGTCACAGTGAGGCTATTGTGAGCTATTAATTTGGTTGCTTTTTATTTGTTTGTTTTTTCCTGATGAGATGATATTTTAATGAGTAAAATATTTTTACTTTTTGATACGTAAGAGGAGAGAATATTTTCTTAAGGGAATAATTGTATTGATTGTACATGTTGATAGTAGTTACTTGGCTAACTGGGAAGCTCATCTGTTTTCCTAAGTATATATGAAAGGGAGAAAGAAAAGTTATTATTTTTACTGTATTTTAATTTTTTTTTTTTAGCATGCAGCAGACTTGGTGAAAACAGTGGCATCTCGCTATGATGAATATATAAATGTTAAAGATCTGGTTGACAAAATCAACCGTGCTCTTGCAGCTGCCAAAAAAGACAATGACTTCATTTACCATGACCGGGTTCCTGACCTGAAGGATTTGGAGTCCATTGGAAAAGCCAGTCTTGTGAAGTCTACTCCAGTTGTTGTACCCCTCAGTCAGAAATTCACTGGTAAGTGAAGTGTGTGGACTGCATGGGTGTATTCATGCTTAATTAGATATTGCTACTTTTGTTCTGTGTTTGGCCCAGCCACCTGTGAGAGTCTGTTCTTTTCTGCTGAATTATGAGAAAACAAGCACTGATAACGAGAACGTCATCCTAGAAGGAAGCATCTTGTATAATGTGAAATTAATTGGGGCCCCACTATTGGCTGACAGCCCTCCAAGGGCATTTGAAGGAGAAAGTGAAGAGGAGGAGGATGAAGTAAACCCCCAGACTTGTTTAGGAAAGACCCCCTGAAGGTGTAGCACAGGCATGGGGAAATTCCAATGTACACATGTGTGCACAGAAGAGATACCACTTACATAACAGGGGGAGGGACCAAAGGCCTCTAGCTGGGCGGTGCTGGCCACACTCGCTCAGGTGGATGTTACAGGTTAATTGTATAAAAAAGCAGATGGCTCTTGCTGGGAGTGAAATCAAGCTTCACATGGAGGACAACATTGCCTTTTGTGGGGACACCCGCTATCTCGTGAGGCTGCCAACACTCTGAGGATGCAGCTTCTGCTATGGGGAATTCTAGGCTTCGGGGGTCAGGAAGACAACCTCCTAAGTAACACCTGAGTGAGTGGGGAGTTGTACTGAGGGCTTATTTCCCTCCTCTTTCCCTCCACTTCTCATTTTGTTGGCCACTTCTTTGTAATAAATATTGTTTTGTTTGAGCTTTCAGCAGTGTACTGGTTTCAGTTTCAGCATTCTCCTGGCTACAATGGGTTGTTACCTTGTGAAACACGGGACCACCAAAGTTCATGTGTCATGTGAAAAAATAAACATTTAATTTTTGAATTGTATTATGTGTTCAGCAGTGTTGTTGCAGCTGCTGTTTGTCTTCTTCAGTTTCTTGTTGTTCTTGATGATAAATGTAATAAAGCACAGGTTGAAAATTACCTGAAATGTACAATTCTCTTAAAGATATTTCTCAGATTTTCTCAGCAGTTGTATTTTCTATATTAAACCAAACTTTTTAATTTCAGAAGGAACAGTATCAGTGTTAATTAACCTAGTTGCTACTCTTCTGTAAAGTTGAAACATTTCAGTTTGACTGGGCAGCAGAGTTGTGAAAAAATGATTCTTCCCTTTCTCATCTTCTTCCTTTAAAGAAACAAAGTTAGAAATAAAGCCTTAAGGAAAATCTGACTTGCAATCCTACAACTGATTTAAATATATTGCCTTTAAATTATTTCTAATGCAAATTCAGTCTTAAAAATTGAAATCTAAAGACCTGTAGAAATAGATTTTTGTTTCTAAGACAAAAAGTAGGGAGTATCCTAAACTGTTTAGGTCAGTAGTACAAGCTGCACAAAAGAACTGTGAAGATGTTTGTGTCCTTTTACTTTCACAGTGCAGCTTGTGTAATTTATACTACTTTAATTGCAGACCTGTTTGAGAAGATGGTTCCATTGCAAGTGCAGCAATCTGTGAGTGTTTATAACCAGAGGAAGGCAGATCTGGTAAACAGGTCAATAGCCCAGATGAGAGAAGCCACAAATCTGGCAAATGGGTAAGTATGGCCTCTTGTTAAATTTCTCAAGAGGAGTCATGGAACAGCTTATATGCACTGGTTGCCTTGCAACCTGCAGGTACCCAGATTACAGCAGTGGGTTTTTTTCATAATTTTGTGTGGTAGACTGGCCAACTTAAAAAATAGAAGTGGTATTTAGAACTACTTTTCTGTAGGTGTTAAAATGGAAAGCTTATTAAAGTAGCATTTATTGTTCTTCAATATTTCCTCATTTTTTAGGAGTCCAACATTTGCTTAGAAAAAGTTCCAGTACCATTAATCTAGAATGATTTTCATATTCCAATGGTCAGCTTGTATCAATTGTGTTGTATCAGTTACTGAATAAATTAAGTTTTTCCCCCCCAAAATTTTGTTCTTTATAAAAATAAACATTAAAAAATTATCTCAAGCTGATAGATAGGAGTGTAACTCAAGGAAATTGTTTCTTTTATCTGCCAGACAGTTACTTCTTAAAATGTTTGCCATATTTAAGTGCTAAAAGACTAGGATTTCTTTAGTTTTTTAAGAGCTTTGAAACACATATTTAGTGAGGTGTACGCTAGTAATAAATGTAGTGTTTTCAGTTTGAAATTTCAGCCTAAAAGTACATTACACTCTGTTTCCATTATAATTGACTGTGTGATTGATTGTTTGGATAGCAGTGTGGTTGTCAGGATAAAACTACAAACAATTTCTTTATTTAACATGTTGACTTTTTCAGTGTGTTGGCTTCCCTCAATCTTCCTGCTGCTATCGAAGATGTGTCTGGTGATACTGTTCCTCAGTCTATTTTGAACAAGTCTAAGTCTGTGATTGAACAGGGAGGAATTCAGACTATTGATCAGCTGATCAAAGATCTGCCCGAACTGCTGCAAAGGAACAAAGAAATTTTAGATGAAGTAAGCACTTGATCTTGAAAAACATCACCACTGAATGTTTTTCTTTAAATGATAATAGAAAAAATACACAATAGTGTTGTGTACTTGTTAATAGTACTTTAAAAATATGCTATTTTAGTGTTCAGTCCATACAAAAACTGTGCTGTCATATGTGGATGTTTCCTTACAAGTATTTTGCTTTTAAAATTGTTGTGGGGGAGGGGGAAAGCATTGGGAAAGCATTCTAAAGAAATTTGGGTGATTTTTGTGCCTTTCATACCTGTTTTTTATTTGTTAAATTAAATTTATAAAGGATTTATAAATTTATAAAGCATTTTTTTGTTTTCTACACTAGCTGCATATTTTGAAGCTATTTCATGTTTAAAACTACGTATAATGCTTGTAACATTTTACTCTTGTAGTCTTTGAGATTATTGGATGAAGAAGAAGCTACAGACAATGACCTGCGAACAAAATTCAAGGAGCGCTGGCAGAGAACGCCATCCAATGAACTCTATAAATCTTTAAGGGCAGGTAAAGTTCATGTTTCATGCTTTGGGTTTTGGGGATCCTCTAAAGGTGCCTATAGTGTAAATTAAAGTAGTTTTCAATGCTCTGGTAATAAGGTTATGCCAAAATATTCTTATTGCAGTCTGTGCCATTATTTGGAGTTGAGAGATGTGATAGCAGTGCATTTGGTGCTGCTTTTTCACCCTTGGCATGTACATGCATGCTTAAGTTTCAGAAAGCATATGTAGTAAAAAAATGACTGTCCTAAGGATCTGATTGTAGTTACCTCTTAAATACCTCTTAAATAAATTTTTCTTTGTATATTAACATCTTTTTTTTTTTATTTCCCATCAACGTGGTTTTGTCTCTTTAATGTGGTGTTTTGTTTTGTTTTGTTTTTTTCCCCCAGCAGTTAGTCAAACTACTTAGGACCATCACTATAGCATGTTTTATGTGTGCTTAATATATGTTGTTTTTTGAAGCTAGTAAGGATACCACTGCCTCAGTTGAGCAAAGTTACGGGGGTTTAAATCTGGGGTGTAGTTCAAACCAGTGTTCATTCCTTTGTGTGCTTCACTGGAGAATTACTATAGGTGCTTTGTTTATACTCTATTTAAAACATAACTTAGAAGCTGATGTTTTATAAAAGTCTTAGTAAATAACTTTATAAATGAACAGGCTCATAAAAATATATGAAGACTTCTGAAAAGCATGAAAACCGCTCAGGTGCAAAACTTGGATAAAAACAAGTTTAGAAATGATATAAACACCCTTTTTTGTCCTCCCATCCCCAGAGGGAGCCAATTACCACAATATTATGAATAGAGCTATGCAAGCAGATGGGCAGGTTAAAGAGCGCTATCAGTCTCACCGGGATACGATTGCACTTCTGTGTAAGCCAGAGGCAGAACTCAACGCAGCCATTCCTTCTGCCAACCCAGCAAAAACATTACAAGGAAATGAGGTAAAGCATTGAAATTTGTCTCTATTTTGAAAAGAAGTGCTACTCGTCTGACAAAGTAAACTTACATGAATTCGTGTGGAAGCTGATCCTTAGTTGCTCTTATTTCTGTCACAATTGATACAGGTGGAACTAACATTTGGAAAAGAAATTGTCTTTATGTTTAAAATCTGCTTGAGTATATTTTGTTATACTTAGTGGGAACAAAGTCAATTGGCATAGACAACAAGACTGGTTGACTATTATAAATGGAGCAATCTTTGAATATTTTTGTGTATGGAGGTGGGGTGTAGTGTTTGGGTTCTTGGGACAGGTAAGCAATCTAAGATATGGCTCAGTATTTTAAAGTACTAGGCACTTTCACCAACTTGCTTTCCAAGAAATTAATGGCTCATCTACAGCAATATTATTATTTTTCTCATAGTGATTTGAAGTCAGTGGGTTTGACTGCCATTTTAGAATATCCTGTTTGAAGGTATCTGATCAGCTTAAAAAAGAATTAAACATTTTGTAGTAATTCAGTGTTATTAGTGAAAGCAAACCTCTAGATGAGAATATAGCTTGAGAAATGCTTGAAGATCTTTGTTTTGTTGTATTTTGTCCTGGTTTGTGATCTTAAACTCATTCATAAAGGAATAGTCGTGCAGGACAGTGAGGAATGCAGGATGGAATCAAGTAGTAGAGTATACTTCCGTAATAATTCCTCTAAACCTGCTAACTTCTGACAATTTTCATTGCCTAGGTTGTTAATGTCTTAAGAACTTTGCTGGCCAATCTGGATGAAGTTAAGAAGGAGAGAGAACAGCTCGAAAATGATCTGAAATCTGTAAATTTTGACATGACAAGCAAATTCCTTACTGCACTTGCACAGGATGGTGCTATAAATGAGGAGGCTATCTCTGTGACTGAGTTGGACAGAATCTATGGGAGTTACACACAGAAAGTGCAAGAGTCTCTCAAAAAACAAGAAGAACTTCTCAAAAACATTCAGGTACGACACTTTACATGTTTTCCATCCTCTTAAACTAAGAGCAATGATACTTCTACCTCTATAGTACTTAAGAAATCTCACTTTGCTTTCTCCTCTCATTTGCTTGTTCTTGTGTCATGTGCCAGTTGATACTCCTTTACTCCTTGATCACTGACAAATACAGGGATGTCTGTGTTCACTGAAAAATAATGAGAATTTTTAGTAGATACTCCCAGAGCTCCACTGTAAATTCTCTTGGACCTTTTCTTGGCCCGGTTCTGCAGAGGGTTTTGTCCTTGAAAGAATCTTAACTGGAGAATTTATAAGTTTTTGGGTTTGTTTTGGTTTTTCCCTTCATTAATACTTCTTTCTGGTATAATAGGAGACCTGTCCATACTGCCTACTAGAAAACGTTTTGGATCTCTGAAGTATATTTTGGTTTATTCCTAATTGCTGTTTACAATATGCTTGACTTCCAGCATGTGCAAAGCTCATCAAAGTAAAACTAAATAAAATTTCCCAAAGTTTATTTATAAATTCAGTCTTAATTTGTCAGTAAAACTAGAGGCAGGTACCTGAAACACCTAGCAAAAGAGTCTTAGTGCTTGAAGAAATTACAATAGCAGCTTGAGTAATGATGGAGACTTTTTACAGTAGGGAAAAATTTTTTTTAAATGGCCATGTGCACCACGTTTATCAAGGATTTAATATTCAAATATCTTTTAACACAATATACTTATGACATCTTGATGGATATTACTTTAATTTTTTAATGTCCTGGAGTTCAAGTTTGTCTGCTTCTGGCAGCTGGAGTAGTCTTTTTAAGTTTGCTTGTTTGTTTATTTTCCCCAAAGAAATGAGATGTAGGGAGGTGATCCTTCTGTGAGTTTTCCTCTTCCCTGTCCTTCGAATAGCTTGCCAATGTCAACCAAATTTGAAGTAATACTTCTTAAAAATCCTAGCTTTCAGTATGATTTTATGAATATCAATGTAGGCTAGTACAGGAGAGAGCCTAATTAGTATAGCCTCCGAAAGAGTCTGCAGGATGAGCTTCAGAATTATTAAAGGCAGCCCACAACAGAACAGATAATTAACTGGTGTCTACTGCCAGTGAGTTAACAATTGTACAGTTCTGGAATATATATTATAATAGCCACTGTGCTTAGCAGATGACAAGTATTGACGTACGGTGTGTGGATGGAAGGTGAGGAAAAGCAGGTATTGAGGAAAACAGGTAGAAGCAATGAATAAGAGGAAAAAGAAGATAAAACACGCAGAATCTTACATGGAACTAGCTTGCATTATTTTCACTGCTTATTTTTTTTTCTTCTTTCAAGAATGCACATCAAGATTTTTCAAAGATGAAACAATCAAACAACGAATCTAATTTAAGAGAAGAAGTTTTGAAGAACTTGGCTATAGCAAATGACAACTTTGTGGAACTTGTAGCCAATTTAAAAGAAGGCACAAAGGTATGGTGATGCTTAAGGGATTGGAAGGATTGTTGTTTTTTTTTTTAATTTACACAATGAGATGTGAATCAGAAATAATAACAAAATTTGGAGATCTGCTAGCTGAGAGATACGTTTTGAGGATTTTACTGCTGGAGTTGCTTGAATTTTGATTGTTTCAACAGCTGTGAAATACTTCTGTGTTCCTATCTGAAAAGTAAGCTTTTCTGAGCAATAGGAAAAGTTGTTAATTACAGCTGAGTAAAGGATGTTGAAGCACCCGGGTGAGCCATTTTATCCAAGAAATTCATTAATCTGTTCTCTCATGGTATTTAATCACCTTATCAAATTTGTGTTTTATATGTTGATACTGCATACATGAGGGGCTTCTGGAAGGTGTCTTACTGCTTCTGTATTAAGTTTACTGCTTCTGTATTAAGTATTTTTTTCTGATTTATTGATAGCTCATTAAAGGAAAAAAACCCCAACCTCTGAGATATCAATACAAATGAGAGCAGTAAAATTAAAAAAAAAAGAAAAAAATATCCTTTACAAAAATAAATAATTCATCATCAGAAGTGATCTAGTTTTTCTCTGGTCTCAATACGTTTTTATAGTTGTCTTAAACTATTTTTATATTTACACACAAATACACATAAACCCCCACAACAGTATGATGTTACAAGGATGGGCAACAGCTGACTAATTTTGGTTTTGAAAAGCCTTATAGAATGCACTAGAAAACTGTTGGAATGGCAGGTTCTTGGCACTGTCATAATACAACACTCATAACTGGATCAATATGTAGAAGTACGCTAGCATGGAATCTGAAGGTGTTGATTGAGCTTGTTGGATTTTTGTTTTTTTCTTTACTAGTTTTACAATGAGCTGACAGAAATCCTGCTGAAATTCCAAAACAAGTGCAGTGACATTGTCTTTGCTCGCAAGACTGAAAGAGATGAACTGCTCAAGTAAGATTTCAATGTGTTGTTTAAAAGCATTGCAGAAATGGTTAAGTATTTATCAGAAATTTATCTTTGGGGATATGTTTATTATGGTACTTGATGAAATGAGAAGGAAGAACAGGTATGTTAAGACTCTCAACTCTTCTTTACTTTAATGCTAACCCTACTCTTCCCCCCCCGAAAAACAAGAACAATGATAGGAGAAATAAATAGGAAAATCTTTGAAGTCTGTTGTGGTTTTCCTGTGTACAATTCAGCATGAATCTGTTTCATGTTATGATTTCACTCTTGGGTTTTTTTTGGCATGTATGTTTCAGTCATTTTATTTTATTCTTTCCTTTGAGGAAAGATTTCTGCACCCTGCTCCTGCTGTCATTTTAGTTTGAGAAATTAGATAAATGCTTCATCATATGATTGCCTTCCGTGTGTCCAGTGTGATGGGGGGAAAACTGTTCTGCACTGATATTCCACTTCTGCTCTGTAGTCTGATCTTGTCTGGTCTGGTTTTTTATCATTGTTTAGATATGTGGGTTGCCTACAGTGCTGGGGAGAGCAGCAGATTTTGTCCTTCATATGAGGAAAAATATTTGTTGTTGTCCCCCATATGCGATCTGGCCTAGTATAGTGTGTTTCAGGTGTGATTTTTGGGCTCTCCTGTTAAGAGGAAAGTGTAACTGAAAAGGTTTGCCTTTTACTTAGTGTTCTTTAGCAGAGCACATAGTCTTTTATAAAAAGAGCTAGTTGTTACTAAAATTTTAATTGGTGAAACTGCAGTTGTTCTATGCATGTACTACCGTGTCATGAATGGGATGCTCAGCCCTCAATTTTTACCTTTCCTAACTTGATCCTTTGTAGAACTGTTCTTTTTCATTTGGACATTGTGCTTGTAAATGAATTCTTAATTACAACCCCTTCTGCCTCTCTTTGGCTTCACACATTCATGTAATTTGGAAGCTGAAGGCTGCCTAACCAAGGCATAGGTCTGAATATCTCACATCTCCATGTTCAGTGTCAAAGTTGTAGGATTAGTTTTGACAACATTCAGCTGAGTCTTTCCATGATATATTTTACTGCCTCATGTTAACTGTTCAGTTACATGAAACTCAGTCACGGTTAGGGGCAGTGATCACATTTGGGATATGTGTAGTGTGCTTCTACAAAATGTGTTTCTTAGTGCACCCAACCCACAGCTTGAGGGAATTAAATATATGTTTTGCCTCTTCTCCCTGCCCCCTTCCCTCCCAACTACAATAAAAATGTTGATTGTGGCTTGCATCTTAGTGGAAATAAATTTCTTTAGGGAATTTCTCATTTAGAACTTCAGTGTGGTTCCCCCCCCCCCCCCCATAATGATTGCCCGTTGGAGGATCAGTTGTAATAGTGGTTTAAGCTTCACGTTTAATGCAGTTGGACACTCTGTGGTCAAAATATACTTCACTCTGAAAGGCACACGTGTTCTGTAAGACATTGGTCTTGTCGCATTGCAAATTACTACTTACATCCCTTGTGCCATCTAAGATATTAGGTTTTGGGTTTTTAGTTTCTGTATAATATGGTGTTGAATACTTGCTTCACTATCTACAAGAAATAGTTTCAGATATACATACACATATGTAACAGAATATCAGGACAGTATTTCCAACTTTGTCCTCATCATTCCTTTTTGCTGTCAGGGTAATGATGAGGACAGTTTTCTTGGAGTTTTTATTTCAGTTTTGGGTTTTTCTATGAAGTTTCTGCAAAAGTGGCCAGTGTTGTTCTTTGGAGCTCACCTTTGCTGCTATGTAGTAGGATCCTGTATTTTGTTGCTAACTAGACTGTATACATTTGTCAGTCTTCTCTTTATTCTGTTTCACAGAATAAAGCTATCAAGTTCTAGCTGTTACATACTGCTCACAGATATTTTTATGCAAAATTTTCTGAAATTTTAAATGCTTCTTTAAGTCTCTCTGAAGAATCTGCCCCATCTCAAATACTGAATCTTTTGCATTGAGATTTGCATTCCTCTTAGAACTGCTTCCTTGCGGTTTTCATGACAAGCCAAGTGCAAAATTATGCTGTCTAATGGCAGCTTGTAGTACAACATGACACCAAAGCCTCCCAGTATCTTACCAAAGTAAGATATGAAAAGTAACTTACCAAGGCTTATTCCAACACCAGAGGTAATAGAATAGAGAACTTGAAAACTCATATGCTGAGCCATCAAAGTTTTTTCCAGGTTTTTTTTTGATAGTTACATTTACTCAGATATAAATGATATTGCAGTTTTTCATGTGCATTTTTTTTTTTTACTCTTCTGTTATCCTTTTCCATAGACATGAGGTTTCCTTAGCTTCTCTGGAAGGCTTCCAAGTTGCTAAATGTTCTGATGATCCTGTAATTTCTGTTTCCAAAGCTTTTGGCTAATTCTATGATCTATACCTAGTATTGAGTTACAACATGAAGACATTATTGAAAATAAATGTAACAGTTAACCAGAGGGTTGGCTAGAGGATGGTATCTGTGGAAGTGATTTAGACTCCAGATTTAGTTTGAACTAGCTCAGTGATCATGCTTTAAATATTAGATTTAGTCTGTTGCATCTTTTTGGCTTAGCTTGCTGAAGCCCATAACAAACAATGCTTAAAGTAAACTGTATGTTTGCTGGTTTGTTTTTAATAGAGATTTGCAGCAAAGCATTGCTAGGGAACCCAGTGCTCCCTCTATTCCCCTGCCTACATATCAGACCACATCAGCAGGAGGAAGTAAGCCAGCGGCATCGACTCCTACTCCAGCACCAAGAACCATGGTGGTAAATATATGCTATGGAATTAGTGGGTTGAAAGTAGAGGGTCCATACTTTAGAACTCTAAACTGTTCTATAATTTGCGTGTATCACTCCTTAACATATTGGTGTAGTTGGAAATGTGTTGAAGTGAAATAGAGGGCAAAATTAAAGACTTTGCAGAGAGGTATATTATGTGTATTATTGGGGTTAATAATTTATAGATTTGAAATGAAAAGCTTATTGCCTTTTAGATGCTTTGCATTATTATCTGTATAGACCAAATATAGAATGTCTGTTTAAAAGGAAAATAAAAATCAACTAATCATATAACCACAGCTTTTGATTCCAAGACTTACATAAAGAAGCTCCAACTTAATTCACTTTCTCTTGTTAGGGAACTAAACCACAGCCACCAGCACGGCCACCACCACCAGTGATTTCTGAGACAAGCAGTTCTTCTTCTGCATCAGCACCCCCTGGAGCACCTGCAGCTCCCGCTGCAGCTCCTGTTCCTACTCCCGGAGCCAGTGCACCTGCAGCAAGCACTGCACCTTCACAGGCACAGGGACCTCCTTACCCAACTTATCCCGGTTACCCAGGGTAAGCTATGGGAGTACCTAAGCAGTTTTTCATTATCCTGTTATTTAAAAGTACCTTTTTCTTGACATTTTTAAATTAGTGTGTTAGATTTTAAAATTAGTTATTGTTCCAGTTGAAGATATGTTTAGTGTTTGAGGCAAGAAGATTTTTTTTTTTTTTAATTTTAGTTTTAATCATGTTACTCTTGTAGGAATCATTTGCTGGTACCTTTTGTGGGAGGGTTCATTTCAAGTTTTTACAGCTTTTTTTTTAAAGGAGAAGGAAGGTAGGACTGCAGTTCTTTAACTGCGGTTTCTTGACTATTGCCAACCCTTGCTTAATCAGTTGGTGGTGTTTATCTCAGAAGTGTTGGCATATCTAATTTTTCAAATCTTAGTATCATGCCTAATTTGATGAAAAATACACAGAAAATTCCAGTTGAGTAGTGTGCTTTCTTCTGATGCCTTTTCCCATCTTCCTGGTCTTATCCCAAGGAATTGAAGGTAGCTGTGGTCTTCTTCAGTAGCAGGCTCAGCAAATGTTAAAATACACACAATGTTATTAAATAGAAGAGAATCAATTGAGATCAGTTCTAGTTCCAGCAGGTTGCCTTTACTCCACCTCCTACCTGTATTTCTGTTCCATGCACTGTAATTGATTTCATGTTTGCTCCTTGAAAGTTACCACATTTCCTGCTGCACTCAAAGGAAAATGTAAAGAAAATATTTATGGAGATTGCATGTCTTTTTGTATCTATTAATGAGTTATTTTTGCAAATTAACATCGTCAATATTTTGCAACTCAAGTATGCTTTTATTTCCCCCCCCCATGCAGGTACTGCCAGATGCCAATGCCAATGGGCTATAATCCATACATGTATGGTCAGTATAATCTGCCATATGCACCCTCGCCTATGTATCAAAACCCTGGACAAGCACCATATCCGCCACCTCAACAACCTGGATACCCTTTTGTTCAACAGCCTTATTACCCTCAGCAATAATGTGTCTGCAAAGAAGCTCTGCTTGTTAAAATTTGGGAGAAATTGGCAATAAGCATACTAAAACTTCTAGCTTCAGTTAATGTACCATACTGAACTGTATGCAGCTATAACTCCTATCTCTTGTTAACTGCTCCAAAATGTCTAGATCAGTTTTTGATTACACTAAACTCTTTGAAAGATCTACTGCAGTGGTTTAGACTGTAGACTAATGCCAGAATTAGAGCCTAATTCAACAGTCTGAAACTGTACACTACATGTTGGTTAGACCAAAATATTTGTTTGAAAAATCCTGTAAGTAACAAATAGGTTCAGATGAGAAAAATGAGGCAGTGTGTGCACTGGGTGTGATTTATTCTGCAGAACCATATAGCATTTCCTTCTATACTCTATTGGTTTGTATTTTTTTTTTTAGTTTAGTTAAAATATGCTATTTTGTCTAATAATCAAGGCCTTGTAAATCATCAGTAAAAAGAAATAAATTACTTGAGAATGGTTTAAACAGTTGGCATTTTCATTACCATAAAAATGTGTTTTATGTGTCTGTAGATTGTTTCATTTGTCCCCTAACTTTCATAACATAAATAACTTCTCAAGAGTTTAGCCTTACAAGTGAATTTCCACCTCTTTTCCTGGATTCTGTATTTTTGTGACAGAATCTGTAATTAGCCATTTAAGTGTTGGTAGATGAAGTCTTGCAGGTGGAGTTTTCCTATAACTTTGGAGTGTATTTAACTAAAATACATTCATTACCATTTTTAAAGAACGATTAGTCATCTCCAGGATACTACTTAAAATAAGGGAGGTCAGAGTTCTTTTACAGGACCAGTGAATGGTTGTTCTAACTTGTGTTTTCCAAAGAAACATTGATGAGAAATGTGTTATGGTTCAAAATAGAGCAACTATTGATTGTTGGAGCTTTGCAGATTCTGTTTTTAAATGATTGCTTTTTCTCCCTTGAAAAAATTGATGTATTCCCTCAGGGAGCTTGTTATCAGTGGTGAAACTTTTTTTTGTGGGGAAAAAGAAAATCTTGTAAATTAAAGCACATTGAATGTTTACTTTTGGATCCATCTTCTCAAGGGATTAATAGCCTTGCACTACATTTTACATAAGATAGTGAAGAATCTAAGTTTGGGGTTAATGGCTTCTACCAAATATTTGCTAACCATTTATCAGTCTTTATTTTTAACAGACTTGTCTAGTGAGGGATTCTCCATTCATTTAACCCCTGATGTGAGTTATTTGATTCTGTGGGACAATTAATTTTCTGAGTGCTTCATACAAGATGTTCTGGCCTTACAGAATAACTACCATAGTACCTATGTTAAAAGTTATTCCTTTGTTTTTCTATTTAAGTGCCTGATTAAGATATCGAGGTATATTTTAATGTAGGTGTTTAGAGGTGCCAGTTATTGTAGCATCTGGGTGGAAACCTCGCTGGATCATTAATATTCTTCCTCATAAAGAAAGCAGCATTCATATCCATATGAGCTCCTTTCTTTCTGTCTCAAGTTCCTCCTGCTGTGTGATCACTCCGGTTACTGTGTGAAGACTCCTTGTCTTTAATACTCCCTACCACCCATAGAAAATGCGAATCGAAAGGTAGAAATAAGCATTCCTTATAGAACATGAGTATCTAATTCTAAACAAATTTATTAAGCCTGTAGAAGCTCAGTGATGTGGGGAACATGATGAAGTAAGAGACTGCAGCACCATAGATAAAACTGTGCACAAGGACAGGTGCTTTGCATTTCCTTATAAACACTGTTGAATGGGGTGGCACAGGAACCTCTCAATTTTTTTTCCTGATAAGAATGCATAAGAGGCAAGCGAGGACAATGAGAAAAAGCTAGGAAGATAACTGACTGGAAATAACAATCAGAACCTGATTTTATTCTAACTGAAAAAACAGTAGTTTTCCACTGATTTCACTGTGTCAATGTGAGCAAGTGCAAGTCTAATGCAACCTTTAAATTCTAAATTTTTAGTATGCTATGGCCTGTAGGTTTTTCAGTTCACACATTAGATGCATTTGAGCTATTGTGTAAGTAAGTTTTGTCTCTAGTGCCTCAGTTGATAAGACTTATTTTCCTGCTGTATAAAAACATAACTTGGTTCAGCATAAAGATTCTTAGAACTGAAATTTCCTTTTTAAAATTTTGTAGCTCTGGAATCACTGTCAAGACATTTTTTCCAGTTGTGTTTTTGCTTGCTTTAGTCTGCTATTATTTGAATATGTGTAGAAATCTATGCATTATGTTCAGCTTTCAGTTTTTCTCCTTTTTTTTTTTCCTAAAGAGAACAGAAAAATCCAGAGACATGTTATGTATCTGCTTTTAAGCATGCAACTGTCATGACTTTGGTTGAAATGTTATCTTGTTCTTCTATAGTTTATTAAAAAAATCAGTTAGAAAACCTGATTTCATGGTGTTTCTCTTGAGTCCTTTGGCTTCAGACAAGTGTTATTTTGAGAAGGATGGAAATAAGTTATGGGCCCCCAAGAATGTTTTTGTGTCATGAAGACGTATCAGCTACAGCGTGGAACGGTTGCCTGTGTGTGTGCAGGTGCTTTACGGTGCAGCAGCTGCTCTGCAATAACAGCCAGGTTCAGATCCTGGTAGCTGCGTTTCTTTCCAAAGATGATGGAGCATATTTCTCTTCTGTTTAAATGAGGAGGAAAAGGTAAGGTGGTGCCTTCAGAAACTTGGATTCAGAGTTTGTTTTTTATGAACTTATGTTAGACTGGGTTTCGTGAGACTCACAGCAGCATGTGTATTAAAGCATGAATAGCAAGATAATTAAGGGATTGTAAGGGCAGCTAACTTTAACAGCAGGTAAGTGGTCCCTGTGGACACTCCAAGAAGTCAATCTTTTTTTTTTCTTTTTTAATTTTTTTTTAAAGAAAAAGACTGTATTATACCATGATTATTGCAGTTGCTGTGTGGAGAGAAAAGTTTACAATCACAACCTTTTGGAGACTTTGAAGTCAAGCATTTATTTTGTCTTGCATAAAAGCTTTCAATGCAATTAATGAGAAAAGCAGGTCTTAGGAAGCAAACTGATTGCAGATCATGAGTGAAATACCAAACTATTGCAGAGCTAGTAGGTCTTTCCTCTGCTTTTTCTTCTTTTTTAGTGTGATTTCAGTCCATGTGAAAAAGCAACTTCTTTGCTGACTACTAATTTGACATTGCCAGCTAATGATGTTTTTTTTACTATCATCCCAAATGAGATGAAGGATTATTTTAAGTGCTTTTTAGGGCTGATCTGTGGGATCTAGGTTCAATTACACTGAATGTAGTCCTTTGCTATTTCAAAGTACTTTGAAGTGGTATATGAACTTGACATTCTGCAACAACCTCACCTGTTGTCAGCTGAAAATCAAATTCTTTGGAAAGCAAATTTTTTGTCTGCATTAACTGAGTGATGCACTTGTTTGCTTCTAAAATGTATCCAGTTCTGAAGTGACTTGCATCTCAGAAGCTGTTTTCTGGCATGTATTTATCCTAACAGAACATTAAAATAGACTAAGCTGACCAATTGTGGGTTTGAGTTTTGGTTGAGTGAAGCTGCCTGAATTTTCAAGAGTTCATTACATTTACAAGAAACTGTTTTTAAAGTTTCAGCACTTGAAAAGATGAACTATTACAGCACAACAACACCCAAATTGCTTTTTTTGTATTGTTTATAGGGAGGATTTTGGATTGTTTTTGTTGCATTTGACTAGTGTTACATGCTAACTTTTTAGGTTTACTATGACTTTTGACAGGTATATTTGAAATAGTGTTTATTTTTTAAAAAAAGTGACCTGTTTGTCGTGATACTACTGCTAAACTAAAAAAAATGTAATAATGTTTCAAAAACATTATAGCTGGGTTGAGATTTTTGTGGTTGGGTCTCAAATTTGAAACTATAGTAACTTTTACTGGTAAGCATACAGTTAGTGTTAATCTGAAATGATGACTTTAATCTTGCATCCGATTCCCATAATTGAGTAAAATAGTCCCCCATACCCTCAATTGTATCTCAGTTGTTGTATCGTGCTTCTTTCCTTTTTTTTTTTTCTTTTGAGTACTGTTTCTACATCCTCGTGAGAAGCTGGCCACTGATTTTATTAACCAGGTTGTAAAGAAAAACTGCTTACTCTCAAGCATGAAAAGATGACTGACATTGCAAAGTCAGCACCAAGGCTTCACCACAAATTACTGCTATCGGTCTCTTCGGCCCTTTCACCTTTAATCCCTTCAGCAGTTCTGCACAGCGACACCTGTCTGCATTTCCTCTTCTAAGGTAAAGCATTCCTGAATTCTGGAGTGCTGTTCTTGGGCTGGTAAGCTGGTGGAGTGTTTGCTGGTGTGAAGGCAGCCTGTTCCAAGCAGTGCACTTTTTCCAGCCGAGTGTGGTGTGCAGTTGGGCAGGCAGGGCAGTGGAACGTCTGTTCCCAGCAGGCAGCTCCCTGCAACTCCCCTGCTTGGAGGCTGAGGTGGTGAGCAAGCACACGGTATGGGCCCTGCTACCCAGCTGACTTTGGCCCCTGCTTGTGGGCACGTGTTGTCCATGTTGGCAGCTGACAGCATCCAGGTGTCAAAAACACTCTAGAGACTTGGCCCTGGCATCAACCTTTATCCTAGAGTGACTTGCCCTCTGACGATGCGGAACCTTTGACATTCAGTAACATCTGTCCTTTGATCTCAAGTAGCCCTTGACCTTAAGGATCCTCTGCCTTGTGACCTCAGTTAATGTTTGACCTTGACAAACCTGTGGTCTCAACCTTTGACTGGAAGTAACATTTGACCGCAACTAACCTCTGTCCACTGACCTTGAGTAACATTTGGCATAGATTAACCTTGGTCCTGTGACCTCAAGAAACCTTTAATCTTGAGTAACCTTTGTCCTCAAGTGACTTTTGAACTAGCATAACCTCTGTGTTCTGACCTCATGTAACCCATGACCTCAGCTAACCTTTGTTCTCAAGCAACATCTGTCCTGTGATCTCAAGTAACCTCTGGCCTCAAGTGACCCCTGTCCTGTGATAAAGGCCAGACTAGTCTTGTTGTGGAAATCTGCCTTGTCAAGTAGCTCTTGTCCTCCCACCTGAAGCATCTTTGATTTCAAGTAACCTTTGTCCCATGACACAGCCTGGCCTGGGCTCACTCTGCAAATATGTCTTTGCTGGGGACAAGCAGGACTGTGTGATCTGGGCAGAGAGCGACGGGCTGTTATATGAGCAGTATGGGGGCAAACGGCTTCCTCTGCCATGGCTGAGCTCCAGCTTCTCCCACCCTACCTCAAGTGCCTTGCCAGCAGTGGGAATCCCTCCAACTTCAACATCGGCAGTGGGTTCCTCTGTGGACCTACAACCCTGGGGCCAAAGCAGAGGATGGGAGGGCTCTTGCTTGTGGCACATGTGTCGAGGTTTTGCTAACACTGACTTTCACTGGAATGGAGTGGTTGCCTGAAGTAGATGACTGCCCTGTATTTTGGCATGTATAACATTTA